GTACCACTGACAAAAAGCTTCTTTGAAGACGCCTCTGAACCTGCTTTCTAAAAAATTTTCATCGAGGAACCCGTCCGCCGCATATGGTGGACAGTGCGCGATCCGAAGTGGAATTCGGGTGTCGCACCACCCAGTGGCGACATTGTTCACGGAAATGATTAAGGAAAAACTATTTAGAGTCTGACTTCGGTTTGCTTACAACTGAACTGATTAGAGCCTCCATCACCCGTGGAATCGACTCCACGGAAGCTACACCGGTATCTACGGTATTTAACCCTAAATTCCCTACAATGCATGCGCTCACTCGTGTTGGTGACCTTCTTCCCTTTGACTCATGCTTCAATTCATCTCAGATATGCCTGATGGGGTTGAGGTGAAGGCCTTTACTCGGTCATTTTGATTTTGATGCTGACCTTGAGTGCCGGAACCTAGATCTCACGTACTTTTGCGTTTGCTTACCGGGAAGGTCCGCCAACTTACCATGGAACTTTGAATAGACCTAGGTAGATCGATAGGGTCTGGAATACTGTTTACAAATATGGAAACTAAAACTGCTACCTGCATTTCGCAAGCGAGTTATAAGCTCTTAAATTTACAATGGTGTGATGTCCATGCATTATACTCATGGCACATAAAGAATGGCGCTTGATAGAGCCGCAAGCATGGCTGTAGCGCAGTTGCAAGTATCTCGGTTAGGAGGGATCACGACTGGGTTCGGTCCCTGCCAGTGCGCAGTTTTTTGCTTTATTGCCCATCCAAGCCCTTATCCTAATTTTTTGATATTCTTTCGAAATAGCACTGTATAAGGGAGAGCAGGTTGAGTACTTGACATGAAAGGCGCCATACAGAGGATAGTTGCGTTGCAATAGGAGCACCTTCATAGACCACAGCCTTTCCCCGCAGAGCTAGTTTCAACAGCGCTTCATTACATAATTCACGCTTAATTTCATTACAGACTGTGTAATCACAGTTCATAATTGGTCTGCAAGCGCTATGCCCCACTGTCCTTCCATCTTCTCACCGTTTTGTTCTTCGATCGCATAAAATTCGCCATGAAACGGATCAGTAGTTGCGCAATGAGAAGCTGTTTGAATACTACCCCCTTGGTGAAATATTTAGAAGTTTGGTCATCCCCTTGATTTGGCTGAAACCTCATACCTAGAGGCAGTTTGACCTCCTGAACACGGATATCACATCCATTCCACTTGAAACACCGAGCGTCCACGTTACAGGCGCCCTGGTGACCAGTCCTAAACTAATTCGGGGGTCTTGCCTGCTCATAACTAGCTTGTGAGATGCAGGTAGCAATTTTGGTTTTCATATTTGTGAACATCGTTTAAGACCCTCTCGGCAGACCTAAGTCTCCTTTCAAAGTTCCATTGGCGCTAGTTAGGGTCGCTTTTACGCATTTGAAACAGTTCCTCCAGGCATACGGCCTATGCAATGACTTGCAGGGGCCCGATGTACAAGTCAGTGTTCTTATCCTCCCAGACGAATCTGGTACCAATTCACCGTCCCCGGAGGAAAGAAGGCTTGGTTGGCCTAAGTGGGAGTCGACCCGGGGTTTGGAACCAGAACCGCGCGAGTGGTAATTGCGCCACTTGTCACTACACCACCTCCGGAAGCATATATAGGGAGCATATTCAATGATAATTACCAATAGACAACAGAAAGATACGAAAAAAGTGCAAAAAGGAGCATTTGAATATTACTACCCCTAAAGCTCAGAAAAAAATTTTTCGGGCGAACCTTTGCCCAGAAAGGTAATTCGGTACCCTGATCATCCATTTTTAGCCCTGGCGCCATCTGCCACCACACCAATTTAGCAGTTTGATGCCCAGATCGTGAAAAAGGTATTCATTTCCGACACCACTGCTATTTAGCGCTCCGCTAAGGCTGACTTTTCTTCTTCTTCATCGTTTGGCCCACCCTGTGGCGGGGTCCCCTTTTTAATCGCCACTTCTCCCGGTCAAATGCCTGATCAGGGTGAGCACCAACTATCTTCAAATCCGCGTGCAGCGTGTCAAGCCAGCGTTGCCTGGGGCGTCCTTTAGGTCGTTTGCCGAGCACCTCAAGCTGGAGACCAGTCTTACGGACGGTGTCCGCCTTCGCGCGAAGTACGTGGCCATACCATCGGAGACGAGATTCTCGCATTTTATCAACTATGGAAGCTACGCCGAACTTCTTGCGTATGTCATCGTTGCAAATCCGATCCATACGCGTGACACCGGCCGTCCAACGTAGCATTTTCATCTCCATCACACTGGAGCGGGCTTCGACTTCTTTAATCGCAGGCCAGCACTCAGCCCTAAACAACCTAATGGTCAAACTACAATTCCATGAATCTTGCACCGGTATCGTCTTGTCACAAACTTCAGTCATCGAGCGCCATTTAGCCCATGCTGCACTCACACGAGAGTTCACCTCTGAGGCCAGACTGCCATCACACAATTTCTGATCCAAGATACTTGAAGGCTCTTGTGCGTGTGAGCTCGATGCCACTGATCCTAATGGAATCGAATTCATATAAGTCGGTGGTCAAGTATTCAGTTTTCTGATGTTCAGCCTGAGTCCGAACTTTGCCAGGCCATTAAATCAGGCTTGTACTTGTTGCTCGAGGTCGTTCCTATCTTTACTGGCGAGCACTATATCATCTGCATAAAGAAGTAGGGACTGGGTTCCTGAAGATTTCGTGAGATGGCATCCATGACAACCGCGAACAGAAGTGTTGAAAGTGCAGAGCCTTGATGTACGCCGACTGTGACGGGAAATTCCGTCTAAGTGCGTGCGGCTCTTTGAGCTGGAGTACAGCATGCACACCCACTCAATAAGCTCTTTAGGAACGTCATGTTGTCTCAAGGCATACCATATAACTTCACGCTCCGCTAAGGCTGAGTCTGGGCGAAGGAAGCTATTTCTTCAGGCCAGACTCAGCCTTAGCAGTGCGCAGTGATCGTAGCGTCTTCCGTTAGCGCCAGCGCCAAGGATGAATATCATACAGGGGGGGGGGCAAAAAAAAAGACTTTTCTTCCTTGACATTCGAGGCGCTATAAGTTACACTTTATTGAATTCTTATCGGATATTTTCACCACCATATTAAAGAGCATATCAAATACTATTATGATGC